GCACCTTTTATGACTGTTTGCTAATGCTTCAAACCATATTTTTCCATTCTGAATACGGATTTTACTTACTAAGTAGAGGAATGCGCACACTGTTGTAGCAATTTCATGGCAGGGTTATTTTGATGTTAGCTGGCACTTGTAAAAACAAAACATTTCATGTAGAGGGATGATGCCTTTTTAAATATACCGATTGCTACTATTTTTGTTTCCTGTAGTGTTGCTAACGGAAGCACAAGTGACTACAGTATATTTATATCCCCCTTTCTAAAACTGTAGCCTATATTTTGTCTGTTGTCCACTGTGTAAACATGTTTTTATCACAGAATTTACATAAATAAAAAACATTGTTTTTAATCTTCCTGCTATCCCTATAATTTATTTTGCTCGTTTTAAATGATAGATCCAGTATCATATTGCCAAATCTTTAATGGAGTGATGCTCTTTATCCCATTAAAGATTTTAAAATTTGGTCTCTAGTGAAGGAATTATTTAAATGTTGAACATGGGAAATTCCCTCAACTATGTAGATACAAGTTAAGTGAGACTGTTCTTCATTTATTTTGTGAACGAATTCATTTGTTTTTCATGGTGAACTTATAAAAATTCAGTTGGTAAGAAAAGCAAGTATGCTTCATAGCAAGTGTGCCTTACTATGAAATTTGCATTTTTTTTCTGGTGTACTTCACTGTTATGGGCATGCAAGTATATAATATGTTGAAATTTAAGGGCCTCACTGATTTATCTCTCACTACTGCACTTTACTGATAGAAATTGGTGGAGCATGGAGGGAAGTTTCAGGTATGTGAATAGTTGTTTGTGCTCAATGTTTTGCAAGGAAGTGGGTAAGAGCATAGGAATGAACTGGCTCTTTAGCGAGCATGTTACACTCTTAAAGATTTAAAAAAACCTTTAAACAAGATCAATACAGTAAATCAAGTTAAAAAGCTCTTCAACTTTCTCATGAGCCAGCTCTTAACCTCCCCTGTGTTGCTCCGTGACTGCCTACAGTAGAGTTTTTTGCATCTTTCTCTTAAGCAACTGATACTTGCAGTTATCTACCAATGATACTGGACTAGATGGATTGCTGTCAAGTATGGCAGTTCTTGTTCTCTGCTTAACTTCTGAGAGGGTTTCTCTTACAACAATCAAACTGGTAGGGTTAAATTCTGATTATAATTTTCTGACAATAGGTCTGTTTGGCATGAATGATATTTATCATAGGAGGTGAAGATCACAGTTCAATCTTGTCTCATATCCAAGATGTTGTCTTGGCACTGGCAACAGTGAATACAGAAATAGTAGTTGATTTTCTGCTTTAAAAGTGACTTTTTTTTTCTGGAGCCTGAAGATGTTTTCCCACGTGTTTCTTGTGCTTCCAAGCAGTATTTCTGTGCTTTGACATTATTGAAGGATACTCTGGACTGTGCATTTGGACTCTGATCTTACATGGTCAAAAGTAATAAAGAATGTGATAATTTTTAAAATTCTCCTTGTTATCGTGTTTGCTAATTTCATAAAATACATTTCTTAATCCCAAATGTTTTTGTGTGTTAATGCACTATTTATTGTGGTATTTGATCTTTCCTACTATCCTCTTTAAATGATGAACTTTGCTGTTTGCTGATACAGATTAAAGTGAAATCACATTAGTTAGAAATACCATGAGTGTCCTTGAATTTTGAATCACTGTCACTGATGACAGTTGGAGGTGGGGAGGGAGTGCTGCACTTTAGCTGTCTGACTTGAATCCTAGTTCTTTTAAAAAAAAAAAAAAAAAAACCCCTTTTCAAAAGTGGATGGAAAACATATTGTTCATTTATTTCCCTTCTCCCTTCTTTCTTTTACCTCTTTTTTATTATTCTAAATAATAAAAGAAAAGAGTTGTTTGAGATCAGACGGCTTAACTCCTAGCAGCCTTGCAACTTTGAAGTGCAGAATTAATGGGGAACTTTAGGTTAGGACATGGCGTTAACTGAAGTGAATAAGTGCTAGAGGTTTTTTCCTATTTTCCCCTTTACGTTCTTAATTAGGGTAATCAGATGGAGCAAAAAAGATCTAGAGAAATATTAGATGATGGGCAAATGGAAATAGCCTAGCCTGTCTTGGCTCACTGGTTAACCATCACGCTTACATGCATCCCCTCTCCCTCGCTGCCTCTGTATCGGAGGCAGCAGTGTGGGGCAGAGGGGAGCAGCAGGCGGGAGCTGGTACACACAGAAAGTTGGCTGACCCCTCTCCCACTCTCTGCAACCACTGGCTCCCACTGGCTCCCACTTGCCCCCCACCTGTAAATGTGTACCCGCTGAAAATTTCAATGGTTACAGGTTCACAAAAATAAACTTTATTTTTGGCCTACCCCATGAAGCAACTGCCAGCTGCTGCATGACCCCAGGCTGCCCCTCCCCTCCAGCTGTCCTTGGGGAGAAGCTGGTGGCCCCTGTGGCCTTTGGGGAGAAGCCGACAAGCAGCCTCGCCCTGATTTCTGCATTCCCCACTCCTGCCTTAGGCCCCTTCTAGCCTCTTTAATTCTGACTCCCACCCCCTACATCTCCTGCCCTGAGCCCCCCTACATATCCAAGACTTGGCCCTGACTCCTGCACCCCCCCACATCACCAGCCTCCTGCGATGAAGGATGTGAGCAATTCCAGGCAAGTCTTTCAGTTGAAAATAATGAGGACAAGGAAGTAGGCTATAAGATTCTAGTTAGAAAGTATGTTACAAAAAGTGCATGGCTTTTATAGTCAGAGGAAAGATGAAACAATTTCAGAATGAAAGAAAGGGAAAGGAAAAAATTATTATAGTGACCTCTTTTAGCACAGTTCTGGTGTAGTTCTTGGTCTTCTAAAGTCTCCATGACAAGAAACTATTTCTTAGGTCTCTTTTTTAACTCTCTGGTAAAATTTCATGCTAAACTCAAACTAGCTTTACAGACAAATTTGAGTGTGGGTAATTTTTCTGAAAACCACACTTGGCTTAAACTGTCTTTGGCAGTAAGTTATAGAAAAGGGGAGGTGAAATGTTCCCTGGTAATATTCATTTATGGAACAAACCTAAAAGGGTTTTGATAATTTGCTGCCACAAAGGACTATGATTAGTGGGAGTATTTGTGCCAGCAACTTGTGAATTAACCCATAAATCCTAACTGTATATATTAACATAAACTGTTAGAGCTAATGCTGCACGTTTTAGGTGTCTCTCATACTGGGCCATATTTGTAACTTGTTTTGCAGGAAAATCATATACTAAGTACTTCCAATATTCCTATTTAAACTGACAGTCTTGGGTTAAAAATGTAGTTGAAGTTCTTGTCTTAACCCACACATGATGAAACGGAAAGTTAATTGAGCTAACTTTTAATACTGTTTGTGTACTTTTTGTACTCAATTTGCTTTGGACCTTGCAAAAGTGGTTTTTCCTTTGTAATAATGTTTCAATTTCTAGTTACCATGCACTCGGCCTGTGCTGCAGTGTTGGGGTATCAACATTGAAGAGGACATCTGATAGCAAAAAAAATTTTCATTGATCTTTTAAATTGAAAAGATAATGTTTCTTTTTATTGTTGATTCCCTATAAAACTTTGCAAAATGTGGTTTGAGTGTAAACCAACCTTAAAGTTAAAGCGATCCTTTACATTTTTGAAAAAATAGTAAAATCAGAGCGTTGTTTGTATTTCCTTAATGCTCAAAAGCCCCAGTCAGGCCCTACCCAATATATTGTGTGCTGGGACAGTTGGTGTCCTAAAGAGTTCCTCTTTTATAACTGTAGATCTAGTATAAATTCTGTGTCTATCAGAGATTTTTGCTGAGTTCATTCTGGTTTATAGTAAAAACCACTTCTTAATAGGGATGTAATAGTGTAGTTGATTATCCGATAAGCAAAAAATGTATAGGTTAAATATTAGGAAGTTCAGAGGTTTTCCTGCAGCAGCTAAGTGAGGAGGGTGCAA